TGTATTTAAATGATGCAAAGTTTGACTTGTTTTTCAATAAAAACATTTTCTCAACATATTCTTGACTCTGTGCTATCCAAGTTTATTGTACATTAAAACTTATCCCTGTGCAGTTTAATTACATTACTGGCGGTACAATTCATGTACCGCCAGCTTCGTATGATCTATGTTCAGGCAAATATCCTTGTGCATAGGTTTGGATTCTGTTCTGATGAAGTGAAATTGAACCTGTTCAGATCGTATTGTACACCATTGTATACTGCCCATTTGTGGTGCAATTTTAAAAAAGCCAGTCTTCATAGATTGAAGGTCGCTTATAATGATGCTCTAAGACTATTGTTACATAAGCCTAGATGGACCAGTGCTAGTGAGCTGTTTGTATCCACCCGTGTCAACACTTTAATGGCTGTTTTAAGACAACTTATGTATAAATTTATTTGTCGTCTGAATGAGTCTAACAATAGAATTATTTTGCTGTTGACCAATGTCAAATATAGTGCAGTGAAATATTCTTCTGCACTTTGGAGACACTGGTATGACTGTCTCCTGCATGGTTAGGAACCTTTTTATCTGTATATTTTTAAATTTTTATTTTATTTTATTTTATTTTGTTTTTCTGTATTTATCTGTGATGTTGGTTGGACTTTGAGTCTGTAATAAAGTAATATATATATATATAATTACTTCTGTATCAAATGCCCTCGAGTTTACCTTTTACTTTATTTATTGTGCACACAAAATAGGATTGGTGATCAAAGGTTCTGTAGTATCGGAGTCAAAGGGTGCGCTGATTACATGCAGCACCTTTGTGGGGGTGGTGTGCTTGATTCACTATCACGCGCACTTCTACCTTTTGTTGTGCAACATAATGGGGTGTGACTTCTTTCAGCAAGAGTATTAAAACATTAAGCATAAATATTTTGGGTGATTTTGCAAGCTTGCTCCAATAAGCCCGTCGTGAAAGTTTAAACTGGTGGCCATTTTGTTTCCAAACAAGACTCCATTTAGTTGCTTTACTGTTGAGCCTTCAAGTCAAGACTTGACTTCTACATGTGTTTTGCAGTTGCTGGGTAGGTTTTTACAATGCATCTGGCAGCAATCTGTTGTGGCACGCAATGTTTCCACAAAAATACAACAACTTGTATTTTTATGAATAGTTTATTTGAAAGAATAAAAGACGAGAATAAAAAAACGAGCAAATGAGGAAACGATTATAAAAGAGGTAATGACTGAAACAATCATTTGCATATAGGTATAGATATATACAATATATGTACACACATACAGTAACTTTTCCATCAAACTAAAGCAGATGTTTATATTTACAAAGTGTTAAAGAATCTGTCAGATACAGTGTACAAAGTATCAAAAATATTACAACATTCAAGGGAAATCAGCAGAAACTACTACTGCTTAAGCTTAAAGCTGAGTAAATGCCAAGTTGTTGCATAGTTTTCTATGAATGCAGTACCGTGTTTACAAAGGAGATCAGTGGTTGTCTTCACTTCTGAAAGTCTTTTTAACCCGTGGGACCAGGAAGATGCTGCCATTGGTCGACTGCTGGAGGGAGTAGTCTAGAGGGGAGTACGAGTTTCCCTTCTCATCCCTCAACCTGCTGAAGACTTCCTGGTACAAGCTGTTGAGCTGCTGCTTCATTTCCTTCAGGTCGGTCATCTTCTTGTTCTTCTCCCTCAGCAGGCGCTCCTTTTCCTCCTTCAGCGAGTCCAGTTCGCCCTCCAGACCCACAATGTTCTCCATCTTGCGTTTGCGGCAGTTCTGAGCAGCCACCTTGTTCTTGCCACGGCGGCGAATGTCGCGAACCAGGGCCAGCTGGGCCTCGTTCAGTTGGTGCTTCGACATCAACTCGTTGAAGTCGTCAACCGGCAGATTGATGATTGTGTTGACGGTGAATGGGATCTTGAGGGACTTGGCCCTCTGCTCGTCTCTGGAGAGACGTATGTCGGAGCGTTTTTTGGGTTTATCTTTGGTGAAAGGAGCACTGCTGTGACCGCTCTTCTCTGCCGGGTCCACCTTATGTTGTTTGGGTTTCTTTTCTTCTCGTGACTCCCCAGCTGGCGAGGACACTGGCGTTTCAAGATTATCAAGTTGGTAATTTAATGGAAATATCTCAGAGTAGTCCGATTCTACACTCCCAGGGCTGTGGTCCATGTCTTCCATCTCTGAATCATTGTATCCAGCGGACTCCCCTCCGTACGCAGATTTACTAGGCGAGCTGCTAATTGGGCTTCCTTGGGTGGAGATTCCAGAATCTGTGTCTGGATGTTCTGTCAGATTCTGTTTGCTTCTGTCAAATGGATCTCCAGGTGAAAGACTGTAAAGATCCATGGTGGTATAGGAGGGCTTGTTTGAAACATCAGACATACTTTCAGTGATGTCTGGGCTGTGTTGACCGCTGCGCTCTTCCAGCTTGGTGTCGAGATAAAAGATGTCTGCGCTGAAGCTTGAACTTAGCTGGGACTCAGGGTTCACCTCGCTGAAGTTATCAGATGGAGCCATACTGGGAACAGAGCCATCGAATGTATTCATAAACTCAGCGGGGATATTTGTTTTGACATCTGAGACATTGGTCATGAGGTTAAAAATAGGAGTTTGCATTTGCAGATAGTTGGAGTAGCTTGGATTCTGAACGTCAGGGTTGTTTGGAAGAGGATACGTTGTGGTCTCCATCGAGTCTTTCATAGGCAGGTTGAGGCATTGCTGGGAAGAAAGGCATAAAACATGAGAATAAGTACAAAAAAGATAGAAATAACGCTTTGGATTACATAGGACATTTAGACAAAATAATTTTTACCATCAATTCTGAAATAAATGTATTTTCTGAATACAGTTTTTGACGAGAGAAACATTATTACTCAGAGTTTCTTTTGTTGTCTTTCGCACAACATGTGGCACATGTGGTGGAATGAAACTGTGTACACAGAGTCCCAGTTACTTCCAACAATAAAATGTACAAGAAAAACAGTAATAAGATCTAAGATATGAACTAAGAAATATAATGACTAAAAATACACTAACCACTAGAACATGAATCTGTGCGAGCAGATTACTAAACTGTATGTATATCTACAGTAAATACTATTTTGGTTAGTGACACATGAACAAGTTGTTCAACTTTACAAACATATCTATGGAAAGAAAGAAAAAACTGGCAAAGCCAGTTCTTACACAAGTGTCTGCCTCGGATTTACAAGACTAGATAAACACCTTTGTGTTCAATACTTTCTATAATTTTGAAGTTAAGTCACCATTTTATCCCAGATACTATTTTAAGATATTCTCTGGTATGACAAACTTGCCATTAGTTTGTCAAAAGACTGCTATTTAGGGTTAGGAATGGAGCTCACTTTTAAGTAAAGGCATCAAATGTCGGCTCGCTCCACCCGTTCGCGAATGCTGGAGTTCAGGTAAGGTAAAGGAAACAGATGACAGCTTGCTCCACCCATCACAAAATGGAAATAAGAGGTGCAGCTACTGAAAAAAAAAATGGCTGTGCGCAAATGTTCACCTTTTCTCCAGTTAGTGCAGGTTTGCCACTCCCTCTTGAACAAAATGTCTCCCTGAAGTCAACGCTAATCATATAGACAGCAACACAATGCAAGCACCCTGACCTACAGGGCTTAATCTGTTTCAACAATGAAATCTAATCAGGGCAGAATGAGCTGTGCACATGTGACTCATTTAAACCCCTACTCTCAAACTGCACTTAAAAACGTATTTGTCCTGTAAAGCCAGGGTTCTGCTGTTCATACATTCTTTGGGTTTCTGTTATGCAACGCAGGCCAATAAATCAGTGAGGTGTTAAGAGATCAAATACTATACCTGCAGGTCAGGGAGGGACAAAAGCTCCATCCAGGCCTGCTCCACGTCTGGAGTCATCCTCTGTGGAGGTGCCAGCTGACCTGAGAGGAGGCTGGCTAGTGACAGAGCTGTCTGCTCAGGGGACATCATAATGTTGCTGTTGGTAGGCACCGAAACAGCAGGTGTTTCCACGCAAACCGACGCATTCTGTGAGATTTAACATGTGTAAGAACTCCCATCCTCTTATACGCTGTTAATTTGTGGAAATATCAGATATTCTTACCTCGGTTCCCACTACAGGAAATATCTCTGCCAAAAGCTGCAAATATTCATCAAACGGCATGTCATCACCAGTCTCCTCTGGGAAGCTGACATTCTGCAACAGAAGTTAAAGAGCTTGACGTTATGTATATAATTCAGCATCATTTGTGGCACATGTACTTTTAAAAACAGCTGATGAGTTATCTAGTGTTCAGAGTTCTGTAGAGCAGGTTCACACTACGCTGATTCAATCCAACAGAGCCACCTGTGTGTGTCTATGCTAGATGATGTGTGGTTACCTAGCTACAACACAGCCAAATGAAGTGGGAGTGGCCCACCACCAACATGAATAATGATGCTCATTGCTTGTACCTGAGTAACCTCCAAGGCTATGCCAGCTGACTGCAGAGGGGCGCTGGGCGGCGGACAAGGTATGTACTCCCCAGTCTCCTCATCGAGCTGTAGCTGTGCCAGCAGGGCCTTCTCCTGCTCCCGCAGCAGATGCAGCTTCTTCTCCTCCTCCAGCTCGCGCTGCCTCTGCAGCTCGTACTCTTTCTGACGGTGGTTGTAGTCGAATACCTCCCGCCTGGCGCCAAGATCGATGTCCTGCTTCCACAGGATGTCTATCAGGTCCATGTCCTGGAAAGACAACAGCAGATCCCCTTAAGAGAAATGCGAGCCGCCGTGTGGTCCTGCAGTGATAAATACAGTCCGTACCAGAACAACAGTGGGCGTCTCCGCTCTAATACGAGGCCACAGCACCTGCCACACCCTGTCCTGATTCTACTCGCTGACAACGACGTGGCGCTCATGTCAAGTGGGAGAAGTATAATAAATAATGAATGCACTTCTCTGTTTCCAGTCGCCACCGAACACCAGCGGACCTGATCTGATACTCTTACCCATCTCATTACACTGAAGTGTGAAGTCTTTTGTCCCTTTAAAAGTCAAGTGTGTTCATACTGTTCAGTTTTATAAGACCCTTTAAAACCCGTTTATAAAATTCAAAATGTTTTGTTTTTCAACAAAAAAAAAAGTTAAATATCTAAACAATTATAAATATGTACATAATTCAAGGTAAGAAAACAAGATAGACCAATTAATCAGCTAGATGACTTTTATTGGCTGTTTTTCATTAAAAAAAATCGGCAGTCAGCCATGCTTCTTCATGCCTCATCAATTACTGAGTAGGGAAATCCAGCTTACTGTGGTCCACATCTTTTTTTATTATTAAAATGCCTATAAGTTACTTTTAGTTGTACAAGTTTTTAAGGATTGGTGTATATAAGTTTAAGCAATTATTGTTATATGTAAATGAAAATTACATATTGACCAAAATCTGTGTAAATCAACCATTTGTTGCCCTGATTTCTAAAGATCAAAGTCATCGTTATAGAAAAACTTGATCGATCTCTCAATTAGAAACCAAATAAAATTTGTCAATAGCAGTGACACTAACCTTGCCCCACAATTATTATATACACCAAGTGCTGCTTTCATTGCAGATTTGGGCCAATGCAGCAGCAACTGGGGACATTTCCTGTAGATTTCCCCACACACAGGCTTTACTTTAAAACAACACACTAAAAGATCAATTATCCAACATTTTTTTCTTGGGTTTTTTACAGAAGGAAACTTTTTCAAAGAGCCTATTGATGTTGCATAAAACCAAAGAGCGGCCTGAGAAATACCAGCCGAACATGTGACTTATTTTGTTCCTCAGATTGGAGAAATAAACCACTTTTGGTATGGACCTCAAACTATTGAGTCATGTGCACAAAACAGACCAGGAGGAAGCCAAACGGGAACTGAAGAGAAACAAGCAGAACAAAGCACAACAAAGAGGACGTTAAGTGTTTTAAAATCTTGTGATGGTAATTTCCCATTTGATTAATATGGGGTACAACGTAAAGTTTTATTAATAACAGTAAACAAGCAAGCGTCTATTCTTATTTTTGGACACTTAACAGTAAGCTAGGTGATGCAAAATAACCCACTAACTCTCTTTGCCTCTGTGTTGCATCAGAGCCACGACCACGAAAAGATTACACATTACCAAGGCTGCCTACTATAAATCATGCCCTCTAGCAGAAAGGTGAGCATGACCCAGAAATTATGGCATCTATCAGAATGAGGAAGTCCCCTAAAAGGTGCATGTGGGATACCAGAACACACTTGTGGTGAAGGATGTTTTTCAAACCCAAAATAAAAACTTTTGTCTGTTAGTCACAGCTTTTAAGCTCTTTAAGGCAAGTCTCAAAAAAACAAGTTAGAAAAGGTATGTTGCTCACACAGTGGAAACAATTTCCTCCACTTCAAAAGATCTTAACATTTTACTTCATGGTATCCTAAAAGAACAACAATTAGAAAAGCATGAATGTGTTTTTTCAGGTTGACACAAATGTCAGAATTGGCACCAGAACAAGGAAACTTGGGTTTCCCAGATTATGCAGCCACACCAAACAACCATGCCTTCAGTTACAAATAAACTGATTGTGATCATCACAAGTTTTAGATATGAATGTCATTTGTGTGAGCATCTTATTCAAAAAGGAGGCCTCTGAAGCTAAATGGATGGAGCTCTCTGTGGTTTATTTTGTACATCCACTCATACCCATAAAAATCTAACTCTTAGCCAAACAACCAGTTCAACCATATCTAAAATAAAACTCCACTTCTGCTGCTGTTTAACCAGATCAAAACAAAAACGGCAACAATAAAAAGCTGCATTACGAATGTTATTTGGGATGTTTAGGAAAAAACGTAGCCATCAGATAAGAGATCACGTGCATGGGGGGGGAGGAAAGCTGAGAGGGAGGGGGTAAGGCAGAGAGTTGTGAGAAAATAATCGAGTCCAGGTTTTTTATTACCTAACATCAGAGGCTGAAAGCAACCCTGTCACTTTATTTGGACAAACAGCTAAAAACGTCCACATTAAGTTAGCATGTCACTGTGTTTATATTAGAAAGATTCGTTTTTATTTCCTGTGTGTGGAGGAAAAACGTCACAAGTGGATGACTTGCAGAATATTACACAAGTTACATGATTCCCTTTTAAAGTAAAAGGTAAATAAATAGAAGTTTGACATAAAAATGACTTGTATGGAATAGTTATAAAAATAAACATGACAAATCTATCTAATGTCTATTTATATGAGTGTGTTTTTTTTTTTTAATAAGCTAGCAGTCTAGGTTCAAGCGAGCAAGAATTATCTAAACGTAAACATTTGTTTACCTGTTGACTGGAATGCATCACCTCAATTTCCATCGTAATGGATAGCCGTGCTGCCGTAAACCAACGCCTTATAGGTGTTAATTGAGTATGTTTATCCTCAAATGTCAGGTGATAAAAAATGGCGAGTTATCTAAAAAAAGCCAAGTCCTGTCCGTGGGGGCAGCCACAGCTGAGTTTCAGGAAATATTGCTCCTTCGGAAGCTCGTGAGCATTGCTGAACCCGTAGCCCCGCCCACCGAGCGACGGCGCCGGGATCGTCCCACTCACCGCGGCCTATGAGGCTTGAGAAATGGGCTGGAGACGACACCTCTGTGCGCATGCGCGTGTACAGCCAACCGGAACTGACCAGTAATCACAGTTTGACACACTGGCAACATTATTACACAACATATTTAAGAGCTTTTTTAACGCTGTTGTAGTCCTTAAACAGCTAATCCATTACATAAAATTTGATTTATTTCTACCAAGATAACTTCTACCAAGATAACCCCTTGTTCACCATAGCCTCGTGAAACATGCCGGTATACAAAACATTACCTTGTGTCATGTAAATATTTTTTAATGTACAGCGTCCCCTGCTGGTGAATTATTTGTTTTGGGAGCAGGACGTCATGGCGCCCTAATGTCTCCTGGAGGTCATGCACTGGCATCGGAAGAACTTCACAAAATATGAATTCTGTAAAAGAAACACTCACCAAAAACAACAAACAATCTGTGTCTGTTACGTTTTTAAACAATTTTAGTTCGTTATAACTGTTTCCTTATTATTAGACATCATGCCCTGTAATATTGCATCATATAAAACAGAACAATCCCACACACAAGATGGCCAGAAAATCGAAATTTAAAGACATTTTTGTGACAGTTTATTAACAGCTCGCATGCATCTTTACTTTTCATATTGTAAGGTTTGCAAGACATATCCACAGTCAGTATCATAACAATTAGTATATTGACATGTTCACATAACCATATATCATTATATCACATTTCAGTGCTTGAATCTGAAAGTTCAGCTGTAAAAAGATGTACTGATATGCTCTTGTGCCTAATTTTTTAAAACTAATAAAAAAGGATGCAAGAGCCACCTGCATCATGAAGGGCCCCACTCACCCAGCACACACACTTTTTGTCCCGCTCCCCTCAGGAATGAGGTTAAGGAGCATTAAGTACAGAACCACTAGACTGAGGAACAGCTTCTACCCTTAGGCTGTTAGACTCATGAATATCTAACCAGAATAATCACTGTGAAAAATCACACCATGTTGCAACTGATCTGTTTCATGTTGCTGTGTTCATGCATGCTCATCTGCTCAAATAGACTCATGTTCGTGCTGCTGTTCGACGTAATGTTTTTATGCTACTAGTGCTTAGTGTATTATTTAGTTGATTTTTTTTCCTTAGTTCAAATCTTAGACCTTATTAATGTTTTTCTGTTACATTTTATTGTTGAATGTAAAGGGGACCCTGTGTACAGTACATACTTAGTCCTGTTCCACCAAATGTAACACGTGAGATACGAATGACAAATAAATCTCTCTGAATCTGAATGTATACCATGCCATACATATACATATAT